CATCTTCTGCTGCACGGAGGGAGGGGGTGTGGGGGGCAGCGAGGAGGGTGGCGTGGGTGGGTTGCTGAGGTTGTTCTGGGGGAAGACGGTGGGGTGAGAACAGCAGGATGGTCCAGGACCCCCGGATAAGGGGGACAGCAGGGAACAACGCCCCTCTCACCTTGGTGAGCAGCTGGGAGTAGTAGTCAGGGACGCTGTCGAGCACAGCGCTGCCGAAGGCGCCCCGCAGCTGGCTCTTCCCGTTGATGGGGCTGCTGCCGAAGGGTGCGAACAGGCTGAAGTTGGCCATGATGGTCGGCTCCGTCAGCGGCAGCAGCGACAGCTCCTGGGGACACAGTGGTGAGGAGGGGACACGGGAAAAGGAAGCCCTCTGCCACACCCCAGCCCATGGCCATACCTGCTTCAGCTGCTTCATGAGGGCCTCACCAGGACGCAGCCCCTCGTCCTTCCGCAGCTTCTTGCGGGACGCTGGGATGCGCTCGTTGCCTTTCTGCACCCGCTTAGGCTTGGTGGGCGCCGGCTTCCTGGCAATGGAGGGGTCCTGGGGAGGGAAAAGGGGGCGTGAGTTGTGCCAGCACAGCCCCTCACCCATCACAGCCCCAGCCCAGCCCATCCTGCTCACCTCCCGGCCCAGCAGCAGTGACTGCGGCCGTGGCTCTGTCCCAGTGCTCCGGTTCTCCAAGTGCCCGTTGAGCTCTCCTGGGCTCTGCGCTGACAGCTGCACGTTCTTGGCCCGCAGTAGCTTCTGCAGCAGCAGGTGCCCGGCCTCGGAGCGCCCACCCGGGGCCAGCAGGCTGTTGGCCTGGCTGTCCCCAGGGTCCCCATTGGCGTCCAGTTTTGCTGTCTCATCTCCATCCACCTCACACTGTGCCGCTGCCGCTGCCTCTTCCTTCGGCTCCTGCTTCACCAAAACCTGGGGAGCTTCGCCTGCCGCAGGGGCCCCCTCTGGCGCAGCCCCGTTGATGTGGGTCTCACCAGGGTCAGCTGGGTCCACCCCAGGCGCCTCGGGGTCCCAGGGGCCGTGTGCTGGCTCAGGGAGGGCACCGCTCGGCGTAGAAGTCAGCCCTGGCTCTGTGGGTGCCGCCGGGCTGGGGGCCAAGGCTGGGATTCCCGGTGACGTCTTCTTTGGCTCTTGGGGGTTCTGCTCAGGGCTGGCCAGGTGCTGGGGGGCACAGCCCAGGGGCGAGGGGGCTGGTGGCGTGGGGAGGCGAATGAGTCCGGGCTGGGGGCCACGGGCAGCCAGAGCTGCCTGAACCAGCTCAGCCAGGGGCTGCTGGGGGGGCTGCCCTGGCAGCGCCCGCCCCAGCTCGGTGGCAGAGCTGCTCTGCGCCTCTGCTGGGGCACCGGGCCGGGGCTGGAAAAGAGACCCCATGGGACGAGGGGGCTGGCGGGCAGCAGGCAAGCTGTAGTCCGGGGCCTGCCCGGGGAATGGGCTAGGGGTCCGTAGCGCCTGGTTCTGCTGCAGCA